TATCTAAATACGAGAAAAGTCCCCACGATTTACGGACACCCTGTATACAAAGATATGGAACTTATGTACATAAAATTCAATAGAAAGTATGTTTCTTGAACTCTTTATTTTGATAAATTGCTAAACAAATTACAGTTTTATAACTAATTAACTTCCATATATTAATATTAGAAATATATTAGGAATTAGAAATGTATATTAATTCTCTTACGTAAAAGAAATTACTTAACATAAGTGACAACGTTGAGAATTCAGATCGTAATAAAAAAAAATAATGAAGATTCTATGATTTTAGAACATAAAAATCTTTAAAAACTTTAGTATTTAAAATTATTCAATATTAGAAAACATATTGATTAAAAAAAAATAATTTTGTTTATCATGTTAATCAAGAATCTTACATAGGTTGGGTAATATAAGAAAAAAATATAATAAAAAAATACTATATTATGAGCTTCAAAACTTCTGAGGCATTTAAATGGCTTGCGGATTCATCTCTTCGGGATCTTTTTGTTGTCTGTTAAGCCTTTGACCACCTTGGCGAAACCATTCTTTTGTGATATCTTCAAACTCTTTGTTTGTGAATTGATGTTGAGCCAAAATTGTTGCTGAATGAATTAAATGTAAATTAAATTTTATATTTTGTAAATATAAAAATATATTTTACTTTGTAAATATAAAAAAATATATATTTTACCTTGTATTGCCATTAAAATAGAGTTTAAGCTACTGATTTTAAAATGATTACGTAATCCTTTCCAGGACGATTGTTTAGCAACTTCATTGGAAAATATAGTTCGATATATACGAATTAAATTTTCCTTAGCGGATCTTCCGCCTATGCGAGATATGCACAGCATCTTTAGAAATATAACGTAACGTTAATATAATTTCTATCATTTTATTTAGATAAAAATTACATTTAAGTAACTAAATTCCTAATTAAACTTACAAATTTGTTGTACTCATCTGCATTTTGTGATAAACGGTTTTCAAAAGCTGTGACTTCATCAATACTTTTAAGCGGAAGAGATTGTTGCATATTTAATATATCCAAATCAGCAGGTGCTTCAGGCTTATGTTGATTAATTTGTTTTTCTACTTCTTTTACACGAGCCTCCAGATCTTGTATTCGTACTGAAACATTAGCTAGAGCCGTATATACTCTTTGGAAATTTTCTAAAAAATTATGAGTAATATTGAGTAAACAGTGAGATAATAAGATTATAAGGCAAACAATAAACACCATACCTTCCATTTTATTGGACATTTCTATCATTAAGTTATGTAATTCCTGTATGCCTAGAAACATAAAAGAGGTATTAGAATAATCACAATAACCATTAATAAGCTCTATAATTTTTAATAAAAAATGCTTTATTATAGAGATAATACAAGTAAATAGAATAAATAAACTAAAATGAACTATTACTTTTGTTCGATACTAAAGTTCCTTCAAGGATGTCAAAATCCACATTGTCAGTTGAAAAATTCAAAACATTTGAGAGTTTGTTGACTGAGACATCTTTATTTGTAAGATCTGGCTGGTTTGGTATAACTGAGACATCTTCATTTGTAAGAGCTGACTGATTTGGTATAACTGAGACATTTTTATCTGTAAGATTTGGCGGATTTGGTATAACTGATGCTAAATCAGAATCAGTATCAGACTCAGAAGCAATAGGTTTTTACAACTGTTTTCTGCATGACGTACGTGACTTCTTCTTTATTTCATTTATATTATTATCATCGCTTGACGAATAATTCGTTGCCTTCTGTCTAGCTTGATCTAATGAATCTTGATTGGGACAAAACCGCAATTTACACAAGTTACATTATTTTTTAAAAATATTTAAAAACAACTACATAAATTTTGAAGTAAAATCTAAATTACCATAATATCCATGAAATTGAATGGGATAAAATGACCACTTAGGATCATTAATAACAGGAGGAACTTGTTTTACGATAAATGTATTTATATTTTTTACTGATGGCCACCAGCATTCTGTCAAATTAGAGCGAAGCCATAAAGATGGAACCTCTGATACGATTTCCTCTTCATCATTTCCATCGCTTGAAAAAGTCACGACAGCGAAATCTTTTGCCATTATTAATAATCTGTAAAAAAGCAAAGTTTGTTAAATAATTTATCATCGTTTTTAATTCTAAATTCTTTTACCAATATTAGTACTCGCCATAAACATATTTCCTGTTGGTGCAGTAAAGGCAATACCACAACTTCTTCGTCATATAAAGGTAATTTTACGCATTTTGATTTAATATCAGATAATGGAACAGTAATTAGCTCATATTGTAACTCATTAATTTGTTTAATTCCAATATTTAAAGAGTCGCATGGACTGTGAAAAAATGATTTAACATTCGAATACTTTTTACCAATAACGTAAATCTGTTCACTTCTTAAATAAATTTTTGTAAGTGAAATCGTTGTACCATCTAACAAAGAACAACAGTTATCAGCAGTTTTTGTACTAAGATAGAAACCTTTGCATTGAACCGATTTTATTATCTTTTTGCCATTGACGTTTTTAAAGCACAATTTTGGATAAATCTTTTCTACATTTGTCATATTTAAATTATCCTCTTCTATACAACGATTAACTAATTGTTGTAATGGTCGACTTGAAGATCTAACTTTTGATTTAATTTTTTGCATGTAATTTTCAAACTTAAACGCGCTAAATTCATCTAATGGCCCCCATAATTTTACATAGTTGCATAGATGAACTAAATTATGCACGTTATATGATATATGTTGATGACCATGTAATGTACCGTAATTTTCAACAAAATATACTAGTAAACTGTGTGCATAATCAAGCAGTTGTACGCAATATTCTTTGCTACATAAGATTCTAATTGCTACACTCAAGCTTAAAAAATGAACGTATTTATCGCGTGATAATGTCTTAAAAAAAATTACTGGTCCAGTATATAATAATAATTGCCTTAATTCAGTGGCTTTAAACCGATCGACCTCATCTAGTTTTCTTGGCTTTCTAGCAAATTCTTTAGGTAAGAATAATGACATGGATAACAAAGTAGTTGAAATAAGAGCTATCAGATTTGCAGCCATACGAACATTATGTTTACCTTTAATCCAAAACTGCAACAACCGTTTCATTATTTCTAACAGTACAAGATGCATGTAGTCTATAGGAAATTGGGTAACCATTCCAATGTTTAAATCTTCAAGAATAGAAGTCATTTTATGATGTTCTTCTTGTTGTTTTAATTTAAACGATTCATCTGATCTTAGGATTGCTTTAATTTCTGGGTACGTTACTCTATTTTCTATGTAATCTCCCTCTTGAATGCAATTACCGCATCCAAAATACGCATTATGTCCCTTAATTCCTTTGATAAACGATTTTGCGGGAGCATCGCAGATAAATACGTTCACTTTTACGGTTATTTTTTTGTCATACTGTGTAATACCAGTTCGAAAAATTTCAAGACAATCATCCTTGAAATATTTCAGAAAAGTATTGCAACATTTTGGCTTTTGAAAACCATGATAGACACCGACTATAAATGGTTCGGTGTAAAAATCTGCAACTATACTAGCTAAAATAGGCCAAAATTGACTGCCAGAAGATTTTGTTAAAGGAAGACCATCTATATTCACATTAATATTTATTTGCGATGGACAAGTATTTCGGCAATAATGTTTGCAAATAGATTTTTTTAAACTATTACTTAAACCTACATGATAATAGTTTCCTGGTGTCATTTCAATAATGTCTACTTGTCTGGGAGTTTGTAACAAAGTTCGAGCATCAATAGGAAGATCATGGCCGTATTTTACTAGAACTTTTAATAAACTACTTATAGTAGAATGATTTACACGATTTTCAATAGCCCATAATCGGATGTCATTTACAATTTCTGTTTTATTAAAAAACTCATCGTCTGAACTACTTGATGGAAGACTATCTTTATCAGTATTAATTCCTGAATGTATAAACATTAAATCATCATTGTTTTCAATAAACTTATCAGTGTTAATTCCATTGGAATTATCAAAATCAATTTTTCTTGATAAATTTTGCTGCTGAGGTAATTGTTCAATGTTATCTGGTCCATTTGATCCACTTACAATGTCATTTTGAACTTGTGAACTATTTGAGTCAACAGTCATTTGGGAAACATTATAGAGTTCCTTTACAAAAATTCGTCTCCGCTGTCTTGGCGTTAAACAAGTAATGTCTAATCTTAATTTTGATTTAGACATAATATAATTTTATGAAATAACACGAAGAAATGGAAAGCTAGATTGCGATTATATGCCCGAAGATTTGGGTTTGCGTTTAGGCTTATGTTATGGTTATATTCTCCTTTTCCGCTGAATATGTATTTAGGAAAGCTGGAATATATATTTATTATCTGGAGAATAAAAAATATTTTGATAAATAAAAAGAGGTTCTTAAGGGAAAGATCTGCAGTTATGTTAAATACAAACTAATCCAAAAATTAAATTATTTACATTAATCTTATATTAAGATTTACCATTACAATTACTATATAGAAAAAAGATAATAAACCGGTATGTAATAAATATTCAATTTAATGCAAAATTAAATATTGTAATCTGAAGAAAACTACAGAAAAAAAACTGTAATTATTAGGAGACAATAAAATGCGATGTAAATTTGCACTCGAAATGTCTAAGCTTCTAATGATTCAGAAAAGCGGTGCGAATAAGTTTTTTGTTTCTTCTCATTATCATAATTGCCTAACAGATGTTGTAAAAAGACATGAGAAACATAGGCCGCTTTCCGATATTCACTGCCAGTACCGAAAATTTATAGTGTGCGTAACATAAACTATAGATTTTTATTATTGGCAGTGAATATCGGAACGCAGCCATGGTATTGCATAAAATAAATTAAACTCACTGCCAAATATAGAAACAATGTAGTGTAAAACGAGTACGTCGCCAGTACGTCGTGGGGTGTGTCCTTTATGTTCACATTCACTGCATAGAAACAATAAGACAAATTTAACTTCACAATTGATTTTTTACCGCAAAATAACTTTTCACTTATAGCGTTTTTGATTTGTTGACTCGACCCGACTCGGATCAGATCAAAAGTTTGGGTTAAAACTCGATGACTTTAAACTATGAAGGCAGAAAGCGTTTCTTAACCTCCATGAAAGAAATTCTTAGCATTATCGCAGCATATAAGTATTTCATTATCATTTTTCCGAACTTTTGAACCCAAGTCGGAGCGAGTCAACAAGTCAGAAACACTATTAATTAATTAATTCAGTTTTAACCTCATACTTACCAAGATTTTTACACTATCTATACACTGTTGTGTCAAAAAATCACGGTCGCGCGAAAAAGCGGGCGATTATCGTTTCCGTGGATTCCGCCATATTAAAAGCTGAAGCCAGAGCTGCGGTCCGATTCACACTCACAGCGCTGTAAGCATCATTCTGTCTTTGTTGCACATCGAATATCAACCGAAGATAGAGCAATATGCTTTCAGCGCTGTGAGCATGAATTGGACCGCAGAATTGGTGATCGGTACCACGGTCTTACATATTTTGATTGCGCGCTTGCGCATACTTAAGCCAATTAACGGAATTAATTATCCAGTAAAGTATAAGGGCGTATTCATATGAACTTATATAACCACATAAAGCACAGAAAAATTTATCGCGCATCTTGTATAAAAAAATATGAACAATATGGGCCGATATCACAGTCTCCGATTAACGTGATCCTTCGATTAAACTCACTCTTTGTCTCTTTCTAGGGGGACAGTTATAAAGAGATGCAGAGTGAATTTAATCGGAGGATCACGTTAATCGGAGACTGTGATAGCGGCCCTATGCTCAGCAAACACTAAGTAACATGCTACATCATACATGCAATTAAGTTATAATTTCTTACTCAACAATATAAATGCAATACATATGTGTAATAATATGTGCAATAAATATTATAACAAATATATGTATAATTTCTATGATTGCATCATCGCGGAATTAAAATGTTTTGTCTCTTATAAGTAATAATTATGATATTTATAATTAAATAACATATATACTAAAACTCTTTATTATATGTTTATTATTATATATATTATTTATACATATACATAATTGAGGCTATTGATAAAAAAAAAGCACATAAGCCTAATGAACCCTTTTTCTATCAATAACTTTAATTACATTTTTTGAGTCCAGTTTCTTTTATAGAGTACTTAATGACGTTAATGAAATCATACAAATATTATTAAAAGAATATTTTAATATTTAAAAAATGTTTAAAAATGTCCCAGATACGTTTTTGCAATAACATATATATTACATGCGCATATGTCATATTTTCAAAATGTTCGAGAACGTTAACAAAGTTTATATATTTATTTTGTCTTTAAAGTGACATTGAAGTTTCGTTATTATAGTTATGTAACGGTTACAAAGTTTTTACAGAACGTACATTGACGTCGACAAAATCATGTTAAAATATTACATGTTTAACATGACGTGACAATTATGTCATTTAGAGTAATGTAACATTTATGCAGATTTTAGAGTATGCACATTGACGTCGACAAAATCATTTTAATATTACATGTTTAACATGACGTGGCAATTATGTCATTAGAGTTATGTAACATTTATGCAGATTTTAGAGTATGCACATTGACATCGACAAAATCATGTTAATGTTACATGTTTAACATGACGTGACAGTTATGTCGTTAGAGTTATGTAACATTTATGCAGATTTTAGAGTATGCACATTTACATTTACCAAATTACATAAATGTTACATAATAAAATAACGTCAAAATTTTATAACTATCCTAAATAGCAATAACAGATTTATTACGTCAATGACATAACTGATACGTCATAGTTCGGTTATGCTGATTTGTAACATATACATATAGTATATTATGTAATTGTTACGAAAATAATCCTTGTGTGTTTACTGGGTAATATCGGTAAATAGGACTTACATGGATCATTGTGCGTCAATTATATAAAATTCGTGGCGGGTCGGAAAAATACGACGGTCTCATGTGAAGGCCGAAAAACTAATGATACATTATCGCAAAATACAGTAAACATAGAAGGAGAACTTAAAG